GTGTGTGTGTGTGTGTGTGTGTGTGTGTGTGTCACTTACTTCCCAAGGACTCATCAAAACTCAAGCTAAATCCTAGCAGGCTTCAGGGGTGTGTGTGTGGGGGGGTGGTGACACTTACCTTCCGAGGACCTCATCAAAACTCATGGCCTCATAAAGGCCCTCAAGGTCAGCCCGTTCAGCAGGGTTTGGTGGCCTACGTTAATAATGGTCTGTGACCTGGATATGATTGATTCAACTCTTTTTAATTCAGTAGTTTCTACCGAGGCGGCAGGTAGCTGTGAATGTCAAATTGTTGTCTAGGAGTTATTCCCTAAGATACATTTTCCAATAATGACAAGCATAATGACCTTGCCTTTCTTCAGGAAGTGTATGTTGGCAAGGAGACCCTGTGCACCATCGACGGCCTTCATTTCAACAGCACCTACAATGCCAGGGTCAAGGCCTTCAACTCCTCAGGTGTCGGGCCTTACAGTAAAACTGTTGTTCTGCAGACATCTGATGGTGAGTCTTGCATGTAGTCTTGATCAGAGAAGGACATTCAAAGACTGTGGGTGGTCTGTGACACTACAACCACAGGTCATTGCCTATTCTGAGCAATTTCAACAGTTAAGACAGGAAGAGATGGTATTTTGTACTGGGTTTCATAGAGAAACAAAACCACTGAATGTTATATATGTGTATCTGAGGGAACTTCAGGAAGTTCATGAAATAATGGAATTGAACCTTTTTTTCCCATAAGCTCCTTTATTTATAAAGGATTTTTTAAAGGCCTCTCATATAGAGATCTTTATCTCAAAAATGACTCATGAAGTTGTAGAGGCTGACAAGGCCCAAGTCAATGGGTGAAACATCAGACCAGAAACTTCTCCTGACTTATGTGGTTGGAGGGGCCGATGAACCCAGGACTGCTGGTTCACGGCCTACAGAGGTGGACAAATCCCACCAGCAGGCAGCATGGTAAGCCACTGGCTCAACTCTCAATAACTGGAAATTGGATGATGAGGATCCAAATGCAGGATCCAGAGAGAACCAAAAGGCAGAGAACATCATCAGAGCAGACGTATGTATTAGCTGCAGGTCACATCCTGGAAGAAACGCTTTTACAACGGATTGCCTGCTCATAGCAGATCTCCTCATGGAGGGGATTACATATGGGTGCTTAGTTTTCCTCTCCTCCTTGTCTACAATTCGGATCACACACAAGCTATTCTTCATCATGGGGTCCCACAGAATTCTTAGGGTTTCTACACTTTTTTAATTCTTTTTTTCCCCTCCTGATTATTCCTCTAACACAGCAGTTTTCAACCTGTGGGTCATGACCCCTTTGGGAGTCAATTGACCCTTCACAGGGGTCGCCCAATTCATAACAGTAGCAAAAATATAGCTATGAAGTAGCAACAAAAATAATTTTATGGTTGGGGGGGTCACCACGACATGAGGAACTGTACTAAGGGATCAAGGCACTAGGAAGACTGAGAACCACTGCTCTAACAGATTACTGTTAAAAGATTTACCTTCGATCTTTTTTTTTTATTTAATCATTTTATTGGGGGCTCGTGCAACTCTTATCACAATCCATACATACATCCATTGTGTCGAGCACATTTGTACATTTGTTGGCATCATCATTCTCCAAACATTTGCTTTCTACTTGAGCCCTTGGTATCAGCTCCTCATTTTTTTCTCCGTCCCTCCCCCGCCCTCCCTCATGAACCCTTGATAATTTATAAGTTATTATTATTTTGTCAATTCTGACTCCTATAGATTCAATTCTACTCCTTTTCCCTTCTGATGTATTACCTATTTCTATAATTTTAGTATTAATTTTCTGGATTTCTGTTTTTTAATATAGTTCCTAATTTTCTGTTTATTTTGTCAGTTTATTGGTATATAGTTACCTGAATTCTTCTAGAGTTTTTTTATATTTTCCTTGATCTGACTTCCAATCTATTGAAGGTGCATTATACAATTTATTTTATTCCTTATTAGGTATTTCTATTGTTTCTTCTTCCAGAAGATTATCTGGCTCTGTGTTTTTTTTTCCCTAGGCAGTAGCGATGATGGGTTAAGTTGTTAACTTGTTTCTTTCTGCTTTTTTTATGTGTTCGTTTATTGCTGTAAGTTGTCTTCTGAGCACTGCTTTTGCAGTGTCCCAACTTTTTGATAAATTGTATTTTCATTCTCATATAATTCAAGAGACTTTTAAATTCTTTTAAAATTTCTTCTACTACCCAGTAGTTAAGCAGGGGGTTATTTAGTTCCATGTAGTTAAAATTTTCCCTTGATCCTACTGTTGTTAATTTCTAATCTTATAGTGTTGAGTTCTGAAAAGATGATTTGTAGTATTACAATGTTTTTCAATTTATTGAGTCTTGTTTTGTAGCCTCACCAAAAAACAAAACTCAGTTCCATCAAGTTGATGCTAACTCATAATGTCCCTGTTGGACAGGGTAGAACTGCCCCTGTGACTTTCCGAGACTGTAACACTTTACAGGAATAGAAGGCTAGCGCGTGGTCTATTTAGAAGAATTCATCATGTGTACTAGGGGGGAAACATGTATACTGCACCAGGGTGGAATGTCAAATTGGTTGATTGCATTGTTTAATTCTTCTGTCTTTGTGAGTTGTTTTGTTATTCTCTCCTTTATCTAAAGTGGTATATTAGATTTTCCTACCATTATTGTGACGTTGTCTAATTCTATTTTCAATTCTGTTACCGTTTAATTGATGCATTTGGGGACTTTTTTAGTTGGTACTGCATAATTCTTAGGCCCTTTTTTTCCCTTTTGATTCTTTTTTCTTATTGTTCCCCTAACAGATTAGTATTAAGAGATTTGTCTTGAATAGTGTTAATTATGTCTCCCAGTGCTTCACTTTACTACATATCCTTTTCAATGTATTATCTATTTCTGAAATTTCAGCATTCATATTCTGGATTTCTATTTGCTATTTTTATATGGTTTCAAATTTTTGCCATCTATTTTATTAATCTATTCTTGTGTTGTCTTCCTGAATTTTTCCGGGCAACTTAGTTGACCTGTCATTAGCTTGGTAGCACTGGGGCACTCATAAGCTGTCTCGGTGTGGATTTGATAGTAGATAAGTGTGTTGGTGGGAATCTCTGGTTGCTAGTTGTACAAACCAAGTGAAGGCAAGCTGAGTGGTTGTTGGCCATAATCGGCCATCGATCTAGCCGTGTTGCAGTGAGTGGTGATGCTCGCCAGTGAGTGAGGCAAAAAGTGTGGGAAGCACAGCTGGGTAGGGTCATTGGCTCCCTGTTGGTGGAGGAAAAGAGAAAAAGGAAGGTGGGGATGGAAAAACTAAATAAAACAGAGGGAGAGGGAAGACCTCAGAAGAAAGAGAGCAGAAACAACAAAAAGAAAAACGAGGCGGAGGGTGGGGGAGCAAAAGCAATCCCAAAGCAGATTATATTGGCATGAGCACTAGCCACAAAATATGACTGCAACAGGGAAGTGGTGCTCGTTCCACAGGAATATGCACTGCAGAATGCAAAGGGTCAGGGGTGGGTGTTACTGAACAGAGAGGTGATGGAGGTGGTGATGGAGTACCCACCCCGTGGTCTCAAAAGGGGAAGAACTAAGAGGAATGGGAAAGAAAACAATGGCACAGTACTAAGATAAGCCTCAGTCACCAAACATAGCTGTGGCAGGAGCATGGTGGTCACCCCGGAGGAGCACATGCCACCATCGCTGGAGGATCCCACCATGGAGACACGGGGTAGAAATGGAGCAGGCACTTGCTCTGCAGGAAAATATGAGACAGAGAGAGAAATGAGGGAGAAAGAGAACCATAAAGAGGGAGAATGAAAGGACTAAGAAGGATAAAAGGACAGAAAAAAGACAAAAACAAGCCAGTATGAGTGAAAGTGCTAGCCAAGAAACATAACTACACCAGCAGGAATGTAGCCCTGATGCCCAGACATGGATAGGCATGTCAATCAAAGAGGCAGTGTTGGGGTGGGGTGTCTGCTCTGAAGAATCAAAATATGAGTGAAGGAAGAGGAGGAAAATATACAAGGAAATGTAAAGGTTGGGGGAAAGAAGGAAGAACTAAGAAAAAAACATTTTTTTTAAAAAAGCGAGTATTGTATTGGCAGAATGAGGATAGGTTAGGAAGCTTGACAGGCCTCCAGGTGAGGAGGTTGGGGGGGGGCGGGGGGGATGGCACCTATCTGCTCACTGGAAGGTTGTGCAAGGTAAGCCAGAAGATTATACTGTTTCAATTGCTGATCTTGAATATGAGTTCTGATGCAATCCTGGACAAGCAGGGCTGGCTATCTGATCCTGCTCCAATCTGAATACTGCTTTGCAATACATCAAAATGGCCATGCTATACCAATTGTCAGTTTAGTTCTCCTTTTCCCCTCTTACTCAGTTTTCATCTCATCAGTATTTTACCTACTTTTTTTTTATCATTTCTTCTAAAGTTTGGGGTGCCAGGATTATCATCCATATCCATTTTACTTGGTTTTTCAAGTCTTTGTTGTACTGATCTGGATAATGTATCTGCCCAGTCCAACATCTTACATCTCTGCTCCACAATGATGCTTTGTATCTTCTGAAATTAGTATCAATTCAGAGGCAATGTCCAGTAATCCTGAAAAGTTTGATTATTTCCTTTTCCGCAATAAGCAGTTACTATCATAAGACACTTAGATCCCTTTGTGGAAGGCTGGGAGAAATTTTGTGGTGGCATACTGGGATCCTTCCCAAAGGAACTCAGCCTCTGCCTTCAGACAAGTAATTGTGGGTTTATAAACTGGCTCAAGTCTGGGAACCAAATGAGAGGCCATGCATGATTCTCTACTCTGACAATTCAAGTTAGACAGCCATTCATTTTACCTAGAATTCCTCCACTTGTACAACTGAAGTAAATATTTAGTAGCCATCCTATTTATTTCACTTCTAGTGGCACTATACCCCAAGTAGCCTACACCATGAGCACATATGTCAGACTATTCTAATTACTCTCTTGATTCCTATGCCCATTGAACTAAATAAGAAACTCTCTTTTGGTGGAATCCTTATTCTCAGATGATGTTGCGTCCCGGCCTGCGGGACGCACAAGCAAGGCCCTGCGGGGAAAGTGGAACCTGGATGGAGAAAACAGACACGGGGGCGTGGAGCAAGACAAAACTCTGATCAAGCTCATTTATTTGGGCAAAGCTGGGGTATAAAAAAGGGGGAACTGGGAGGTGCATATTTTAATAAGGTGTGCGACACAGCATCCAATCCAACAGGTACATTAATGAAGCATAAGAACGTTAACCAATCAGCTGTAGGTAAAAGGGCGCGCGCTAGTTCTCAAAGATGTCCTGCATGCAGATTAAGGTCCATCAGGTGTAAAGCAAAGTCCATCTTAGTCCAATGAGCGCCTGGCATTATTAACCAATGGGTGAAAAGGTCAACTTTACAACTGCCCGTGCTACAGAGCACGTAGCTAGGAACGCGGAGGCAGGAATTTAGGCAGGGCCTTACCGGTTTTGCAAATGAAAGACTAGGAAGCAGCCAAGTTCAGCTCAGGCTGAGGCTAAGGCCTTAAAGGCCACCGGCTCCCAACAAGATGATATGATTTTATATATGGAAAGCCCCAAAAGCTCCACAAAAGGAGTACTGGAAGCGATAGAGTAATATGACAGAGTGGCAGGACACAACATTAACAAACATAAGTCTGTCAGACTGCTATATGCATTTGACGAGTCCACAGAAGAGGAGATCAAAAAGGTAGTACCATTCACAATAGCTAAACAAAAATGGAAATATCTAGGGATATACCTAAGCAAACAAAAAAACACAAATATTTATACGAGGAGAACTACAGAACACTATTACAAGCAATCAAGACTGACCTCAACAAATGGAAGAATATCCCATGCTCGTGGGTCAGAAGACTTCATATAGTTAAGATGTCAGTCCTGCCCAAGGCACTATACAAGTTTAATGCTATCCCAATACAAATGTCAGTGTCCTTTTTGAAAGAACTGGAACAGTTGATGACCAGCTTCATATGGAGGGGGAAGAAGCCCAGAATTAGTAGAGAACTCCTCAAGTAGAAGGACAAAGTTGGAGGGTTTGCTTTACTGGACTTTGGCACCTTCTATACCACCACAGTGGTCAAAATAGTGTGGTACTGGTATAATGACAGCTAATCAGACCAATGGAAAAGAACTGAAAACCCAGAAATGAAATCATCAGCATACAGACAACAGATCTTTGATAAGGGCACAAAAAATATCAAATGGGAAGTAGACACCCTCTTCAACAAGTGGTGTTGGAAGAAAATGGATATCTACGTGCAGAAAATTGAAGCAAGACCTCACTCCATGCACAAGAATAAAACCCCAAACTATTAGGGCCATCAGTGAGGGAACTGAGACAAACCTTAGAACTTTGGTGCAGGGAATACATAGGCTATCAGAAATAGGGAAAGACACAAACACAGAGGAAGCACAAAGTGACAAATGGAATATACTGAAGATAAAACACCTGTGTACATCAAAAGACTTCGCCAAGAGAGTGATAAGAGAGCCCACAGACTTGGAGAACATCTTTATCAATGACACATCAGAAAAAGGCCTTATTACTAAAACTTACAACACTCTGCTAGCCTACAATAAGGAAAAAACAAGTAACTCATTGAGGAGATAGGCAAAAGACCTGAACAGAAGTTTCACAAGGGCAGAAATCCAAATGGCCAACAAACATTTGAGAAAATGTTCCTTAACATTAGCCATAAGGGAAATGCAAATTAAAATAACTATGAGATACCACCTAACACCCTCAAAAGTAGCCCAATTCAAAAAAAACAGAAAGCAACAAGTATTGGAGGGAATGTGGTGAGATAGAAACTCTCATCCACTGCTGGTAGTCTTGTAGGTATGTGCCACCATTATGGAAATGGATGTGGTGATACCTAAAACAAATGGAAATCGAGCTACCCTATGACCTAGTAATCCCCCTACTGGGCATATACCCAGAAACAGTCCGCGACCACACATCTGCCCTCCAATGTTCAGCACAGCACAGTTCACAATCACAAAGAATTGGAAACAGCCTAAAATTTCCCTCAACAGACGAATGGATTAAAAAACTCTGGTATATACATACAATGGAGTACTATGCATCCCTAAAAAGCAGCGAAGAACACATGAAGCACATCGATGCATGGGAAGAGTTGGAGGAAATTATGGTAAGTGAAGTAAGTCAAGCTCAAAAGGACAAGTATAACATGAGTCCACTGAGGTAAGCTTAAGAAGCACAAGGGACATGGGGGAAAAGCCACCAAGTGCATAAATTCTTGGGGCGAGGTCCTGGCACTCTGGCAGGGGTTGGACCAAACCTAGGGATGCATATGGCAGCCAACTGAAAAGGAGGGGGAGGGGAGGAATGTGGGGGGTCCGCCTGGAATCCATGGATAGTGGGGGAAGAGTACACAACCCACACAGGGGGAGAGTATTTTTCATGTCCCCACAGGAAAGCAAGAAAGGGACCAGATCTCAACATAGGGCTCCAATCCTTAAGGGCAACATACCAGTATGAACAGCAAATTAACTAAAAGGCCTGTGGGTTCAGGCCCCAGTCTCAGCTACATCAACCCCTCCCCGGAATGCACTACAGAGGACAGCACTGAAGATACAGCTCGGAGAGAATGGCGGGTCTGCCCAGACCACACGGGAGTAAACTAAGAGAGAAAGAGCGAGAGAGAGTGGACTGCAACCTGGAGCCCCAGGATGACATTTCTGCTCGGAGCAGTCAATGCACAGAGAGGACCATGGGGCTGGCCCCACCATGAGACATGATGCCCCCCACTGACCCACAGGGCTACAGGGGACAGTACTGGAGACACAGAGTGGGAATTGTGCCTGTTCTGAACCCCCACACACACCAGAGCAAGACACGAAGGACACAGCAGAATAACAAGGGGAGCAAAACAATGAAGTACATCTGCAGGGGGATGTAATTTGGACAAAGGAAGGCAGTGGGCATGGTATAAGACATGAAAATAATGTAATTTATAATTTATCAGAGGTCCATAAGGGTGGGAGAGTAGGGGAGGGAGGAAAAAAAGAGCTGCTACCAGGGACTCAAATAGAAAGAAAATATTTTGAAAATGATAACAGAAACATGTACAAATCTGCTTGATTCAGTTTATGTATGAATTGTTACAAGAGCTGTAAGAGCCCCCAATAAAATTATTTATTAAAATTTTTTAGATGTTTAAAGAAAGGAACTCTTTCAACTGATTGGCTGCTGATAGCAGATCTCCTCATGGAGGTGATTAGATTATGTCAGCTTGCAGAATGGGGAAAGGCTACATCATTACATAATTACCACTGAGACTATGTGCCCATCCAAACTGTCACACAACCATTGCTGTCACAGGGGAAGTGGAGGGGCAGGCTGAAAAATGAAGCACGCACGTCCTACCAGCCCCTACTCTGTTCTGTCCGTGCTATACTCCTTGTCTTTTTCGTTACCTCACCACAAACGGAGAAATCAAATTTCTTCAGCTCATTTTGTTAGACCTGGGAAATAAGACTGAATGTCAAATGACTCAGGTAGGCTAACTTTTACCCACTTATGAAGGCCTGAAGGTGGACAGAACTGTCCTAGGGGAGATCACGTGGCACCAGGTGACTCACAGTGACATCCGTTGTCTTACGTTTGAGCTTTTCTCCACAGTAACACATTTCTCAAACACTCAACCAAAGAATTGTAAGGATTTCTGTACTAAGTTGTATCCTTTCAGGAATTAACAAGAGCACATTAATTAGGGTAGCTAGATTTTGAGCGTCTGCATCTTAGTGCGAAGGAATCGCGTGAATGAAGTGCCTCAGTCCAAAGCATCTGCCTGCCCAGGGCAGGGATACTCAGTTCCCACTGGCTCATGGATGGCGGTCACCCTATGTTTATTGGCATTGTTTACTCTGAGCGTTCTTAAGACAAACACCACACACCTGATTGCTGAGCAGGGCAGGAGGAATAATCGAAGCATAAGTTGCCATCAGGGCACAGCCTTGTGCCGTTTTCTTGAAATCCATGTCAACCACAGAGCGGTTGTGTAGACCACAGAAACCATTATTATTTTGCTCTTTATGTCCTGAAAGTGGACAGCTCTTGCATGGCGTGGTGGTCATAATATCCAAATGTTGTCTCACTGATCGCTACCTGGGAGCTCTGAAGAGTCGAAGGCACGTAACCCAAGGACTGTGGAATGGGAAGATGAGTTTTGTGGCCCATCACTTTATTTTTCTGTTCCTGATGTCACACCCACAAAGGGGTCCACCGCCCCTCTTTCTTCCTTAGCTCCTGCCAGTGCCTGGGACATTTGAAAGGGCGCCATGAAATGCATTTCCATGGGGGGCTTTGGAGTCAGTGGTCTCTGTTCCCAGCCAAGATTGGGCTCATGGGCTTGGAACTTGGATGAACACAAAGCTAGAAAGTAAAGGAGTGTGTGTGTGTGTGTGTGTGTGTGTGTGTGTGTGTGTGTGTGTTGATTACACGTGGAAGAATATTTGATGTTGGTTGCTTACTTCTGACAGAGTGAGAACTCTATATTCTGGAGCTCAGGTTGTAAAACTCTTGGTGGAATGCCAACCCTTGACTCTCTTCCTCTTGTCTCCTTCTTCTCCAGTGGCCTGGTTCACATTTGACCCCAACTCTGGCCACCGAGACATCATTTTGTCCAATGACAACCAGACAGCCACCTGTAGCAGCTATGATGACCGGGTAGTGCTAGGCACGGCTGCCTTCTCCAAGGGTGTGCATTACTGGGAGCTACATGTAGACCGGTATGACAATCACCCTGACCCTGCCTTTGGGGTTGCCAGGGTCAACGTGGTCAAAGACATGATGCTGGGCAAGGATGATAAGGCCTGGGCCATGTATGTGGACAACAACCGCAGCTGGTTCATGCATTGCAACTCTCACACCAACAGGTATGCTCCCCTGCCTTGCCTCCTCTCCTTGGGAAGAAAGGGATCTGGGAATGAGATATGTCATTGGATCCGTGCCTCTTCCGTGCTCTCTCCTGCCAGGCATCAGTGAGGTGGGGGGTTTAGCCACTTAGTCCACCTCCTCCAGGTTTGACCCTGACCGCATGGAAGTGGCTGTTACCTCCAGACCAGATGAGAGTATGTATTAGGAGAAAGTAGAGTAGCCTTGGCCCAGATAGCTTTTCCCATCCACTCATTACCCAGTTACCCAGCGAGGCACACGATAGGGATCTTGGTGTCATCATTTACTAGGCTTTTTTTCCGGTAAAACTTGGGTATGCCTTCTGGTTCTGCTACCCCTTTCTTTATACATCATCTCCTGAAGTTCAGTTAGTGTATCATTAAGTGTCTGGTGCCGTCACAGCAGTTACTGGATCACTGTCAGAGGTTTATCAGTTGGGACCAAGACCCTTCCCCTCCCACTGGCACGTGTTCAGGGTCACGTAGCAATATTGTGGAGACAATGTCCTCTCTCACAGGGAAGTGGAGAGGCAGGGAGGATCATCAAGGTCACTTTTATGGCTCTGTCAAGATCCCAGAGCTGCTGCTTTCCTCTGAGGCTGGGGTCTGAGAATGATGTACTCGGGTAGCCATGGGAGACATGGATCCTGAGAGAAATCGATCTTGTGGCCGACCGGATCTCAGAGAAATAGAGAGGGCAGGTTCATGTTTGCGGGGAAAGAAGGCTCTGGGGCTGCACTACAGGAATGCACCAGGGCCCATCCTGGAACTTCTGGACACATCGGTCTCTCCATAGACACACAGCGCAGGTGGACTCCACCTCAGTGCCTCTTCTCTTCCCCTTAAAAGCATCCGGTATTTCTCCTTGTCAAGTTAGGTGGGGCAGATGATAGAAAATGGAGTAGCTTTAGCCTGGATCTGCCTCCTTCCTGGGCTGCTAAAAAGCCATCCTCCAGGTAGGAAGGGTGAAGTGCTTTCAGGGAGGCCATCTCACTGGGCCTTGGCTTTCTGAGTCAACCTCTACCTTCTGCTTTGGCTATCCTGCAGGCGAGCACCAGGAGTGCCCTTCTCAGTCAGTCAACCGCCAGAGATGCCTGATCTGATCCCCGGTTAGTACCTGAGGAGCCTGGAGGAGCCTGGGAGGCTGTGGCTGACATAGATAGGCCACACCCCTCTTAGGTTTCCTGTGCTCTAGGCAGAAATCCTTTTTGCAGCAGCCTAAGCCCCCCTCAAATCAGCAGTTCAAAACCATGAGCTCCTCCCCGGGAGTAAGTTGAGTCTTTGTCGTCCTGTAAAGAGTTATAGACTCTGAAACCCAAAGGAGCAATCCTGCTCTGGGCTGGAGGGTTGATATGAGTCAGAATCGACTCAATTGAATTTGGTCATTTTTGTTTGAGTGGCATGTTCGGCCCCAGCCCTCTGTGCTCTGTGCCCTGTACCCTGCAAACTGAACCCAAGGCTGAAACTGTTGACCCTCCTCTCACAGCCCTTAAGGGTCTTTCCCTACTTGGCTGAGTTCAAAAGCCCACTTCTGCTCGATTAAAGTCAAACTGGCCACCCAGGAGACACTGGTGACAGGAGTAATCACAGTGAGCATTTCTTTTTTGGGTGCCCAGCATTATAGAAACCACTTGTATTATCTCATTTAATCCTCACTGAAGGTTTATTATCACCATTTTACAGGTTATGAAACTGGGGCTTAGAAAGATTAAGTAACCAGTTGGTGGAACCAGGCCAACTGAACACAGGATCTCTGACCCTGGAGCGCTGATCATGGGTAGTCCTACTCTCAATTGGGCCAGCAAGTATTTCTTAGCCTTTCGCTGTCCTGTCCAGTCTCTTGGTGCTTTAGTTCAGTAATCAGTTGCCATTGATTTGACTCTAACTCATGGCAACTCTATGTATGTCAGAGTAGGAGGGTGTTCAAAGAAGACTGTCAGGTCTTTCTTCCGAGTATCAAAGTGTGGACGTGAACCACTAACTTCTCAGTTAACCGTCAAGCATACTTGCAACACTTAAGGACTCTGAGGCTTCAGTACGAACCATAAATATCAGGGCAAATAGAAGGCAATTTGGGGAGTGGACAATTTTATTTGCCTTGTTTCCGTGTTTGGAAGAGGCAGGTGAGGGAGCTTGAGGAGAGGATTGCAGTCAAGACAGAGGTCAGGCAGTTGAGCCCCAGTGAGGACCGGGGCCAGGCACCATGTCCTGCCCTTCAGCCTGCCACCTAGTGTCAGTGCCCAGATGGTACCACTGGGTCATTTCTGGTTTGCTTTCTCCCCTGCCCTTGGCCCCTAACACCTTCACCAAAATTTGCCCCAAGAATTCTCTCTAGCTAATCCTCATGAAAACTTGGAATCTCACAAACACCTTTCAACAGTTTTTCTGTGTTGAAACCCAGAGCTCTTCACACACACCCCACCCTCACAACCCATCCCCCAACCCCTGGCCCATCATACCATCAGCTTCCAGCTGATCAACACATTCCTAATCAGGAAAGGACAAAAGTGATTCTTTCCTGAGCGAGGAGCAGAAGGGCCAGGGCCTAAGACCCCAGCCCTGTAACTTAGGGGAGATAGAGGCTAATGTATTTGTCCAGGTTAACAGAAAGCCCTACTGGGAGAGCATTCTTCATTAAAGATTTATTTTAGGGAGCATTTGAACTGCTTGTGGATTGTGATGATGCATCTACAACTCTATTGAAGGAATTTAACTGTGGCTGTGTATGATATGTGAATAGTATATCAAGAAAACTAATGGGGGAAAAAAGAAAGACAAGAAAAGGAATCAAATTTGACCTATGGTAATCATGGGTGAAGGTGGAAGAGTTTTTGCTTAGGGGCATTGAGCTTATTTTAATGGTAGAGGAACAATTTAGAAACATATATCAATAATGGTTGTACAACATGAAGAATATTATCAATGGCACTGAATTATACATGCAGAGTGGTTGAGTTGGAGAATGTTTTGTTGTATATATTTTTGCCACAATTAAAAACAATAATTACATGAATGAAAATGAGTACAAGGAAGAGGAATTTGTTCCAAAATTGATTGTGGTAATGATTATACAACTCGATATGATCGAATTGTTCAATTTTATGATGTGTGGATAAAGTGCCAATAAAACTGTTAAAAAGCAAGATTCGTTTTTGCCGACCACACATGAATTCCTCCTGAGTTTAAGACCCAGCAGCTATAACATCACATACCACTTATCCAGAGCTTCATAATTTACATTTTCAAGGTTACACTTCTTGTCACTGGTGGGCTGGACGGTGGTTTAGAGAACCAGATTCCAGATCAGCACCTCCTCCTCCTGTAGTGAGCCGCCTCCCGTGGTCCTAGATGGCTATGAGTTTGGTATGAATATACGATTTTTTAAGGAAGCCCTGTGGCCCAGTACTTCAACATTCAGCTGCTACCTGAAAGGTTGGCAGTTCAAACCCACCCAGCATCTCCACAGAAAAAAAGATGTACTGGTTGATCTCATAAAAATTATAGCCTACAAAAAATCCTATGGGGGCAGTTCTATTATGTTACATGGGTTTGCTATGTGTCAAAGTCAACTTGGGTGGTACCTCACAACAATAACAGTTTGCTTCTGGGAAGATGAGCTGAGTGGTGGGGTCTTTTCAACCTTCCATCTTCACAGCCTCAAGGGCTAGAATTGAAAAGTGACCAGTTCTTCCTTTGGCAGTAGCCATGTCTTCTCTATCCACTTTCCATGGTCCATGTTTCCAAACCTTACTCATCAAACCCCTAACTCCCTGCAGTTAGGAGTTTGAATGTCAGGTAAGGTCTCCACACATTGCCCTTCAAATGGTTCATGCACTTCAAGAAAAGGCTTCTTACCATGGGCCTTGTGTTTCAGATGAAAGTCCTCCCACCTTCCTTCAGATGATACTCCTGGGTTATCAACTATATCCAAGGCTCAGTGTAGTTATGGTTATTCTTTGGACTTGTCTTTGCAGGACAGAAGGTGGGGTGTGTAAAGGGGCCACGGTTGGTGTGCTACTGGACCTGAACAAGCATACCCTGACCTTCTTTATTAATGGACAACAGCAGGGCCCCACAGCTTTCAGTCATGTGGATGGGGTCTTCATGCCAGCTCTCAGCCTCAACCGCAATGTTCAGGTACTACAGTTGCTCCCGTCAGGGCTGGTCTGTTTTCCAAACCCTTGATTGCCTGTATGCTCCTTAGTGCCCCTATGTAAGTTACAAAGTACCCACTCAGGCAGTCTACTTTCGTGGATTCCCTGGAGCCCATCTCCCTTCCCACCATACATTTCTATTTTCTCACGTGGGACAAGCAGGGATGCTGAGGCTGGCCATTAGTGAGCCATCAGGGGAAGAAGGGAAGAAGTGATGAAGGAAGGAAGGAAGCAGTGACTCAGTCTAAGGGGTCTCTCTCAGGAGAGCTGCGAGGGAGAGATTGCAGCGATAGGAGGAGTCAGAAGTCACTTGCCTACAGTGGTCCTGATGGCCCGCCATGTGCTGTTGGGGGTGGGGTGGGGGGCAGATGGCACCCCATGGGGGATGCTGCGACCTCATGTGACTTTTCACTGAGAGGAGAAACAAAGGAGAGTTGGAGAGCAAGACCTTCTGAGTGGATGGTCATCTTCCTTTGTCCCCTCTCACCATTCCCTGATCCATCTTCTCAGTGTTGTTCACCTGAGGCAGTCAGGAAGCTTGCCCTTTTACATGTCAGAGATGGGGCCCATACCTAGGTACGTGGATGCTGATAGCTCGAGAGAGTTCCAAAGTGGACAGAGATAAAATTAGAGCCCAGTGAGGAAGAGAAAAATGCAGGGCACGTGATGATTCCTTTTTAGGAGAGTCCTCTTCCCCTGGGCAGGCTACTGTCACGGTATACAGGGTCATTAATAATACATTTAATTAGTTTAGTTATACCTCCGTTCATTGCAAAAGGGATTTGAGGTCATTATTCCACCTGGCTAGTGAAATAGATGTAAGAAGGGCAAGAGGGCCGTGGAAAGACAGCAGAAACAAGCACAGTAACTGAGAACCAGTGCACCTGCTGTAAGAGAGCATCACACTTACCTGCGTTAGGAGCCCTGGTGGTGCGGTGATCGCCACGTGAACGCTGTGGACAAACAAAAACCCAGGCCACTGTGGAACCCAGTCCTACTAGACTAGAGGGTCAAACCAATGCATTAAAACACCTAGGCCTTACTGTTAATGGGCTGTCCAACAAACCCACATTTGACTATCTAGGGAGGCTGTGATGGTACTTAGTTTCTCCTGGGGATGGTACTCAGCTAGCAGAGGATTTTGCCTGGGGGGTGTACTGTTGAGGCTTCCTCCATTCACTCTTGTCCTATCTTCTTTCCCAGGTCACCCTGCACACAGGATTGGATGTACCCACAAACCTTGGCCGGCCCAAAATGTCAAGCAATTAACTCCCAGATCTGGTGCTCCACCTGCAGCTCCAGCCTGCGGCACTCCTGGGAGAAGAGCACCCGACATCCTAAATACATGCAAATAACCCACAGGGCAAACTGACCAGCCACTGCATATCTTCCAAGCACATTGTCTTTGGTGGACAGAGAATGGGTTTACAGGCCATGTTTACTCATTCTCCTGTCAGCTGTAATGTAGGCGTTTCGTATTCATACCACCTCGATGTTACAAACACTGATGAAGAAGGACCTTTCTCAAGGGAGTGAGGAGGCAGCCATCCTGGGTCTTATGCTTTTGTTTCTGGCTCCCTGTCATTAACTTTTCTTTGGGGGCAGGATGGGAGAGGATGGAGGGCAACCTTTGGGACTGCATTACTAGAGCAGAGGCAGGAAACAGCAGGTCCTTTCTTTCCCCAGTCTGAGCTCTTTGCTGGAAAGCCACTCCTTGAGAGGCCACAGCTGCAAGTTCTCATCTTTGCTAGAACAAGTTCCCTTTAGATTTGGGTCCTGCAGTCTTTCAGGAAGAGCTGTTCCTGCAGACCTAATTCAGGACTGAGAGAAAAGACTGGTTTTTGCCACTCCTTGAACTGTTGGGAACCCTTTAAAATTGCTTCCGTAGGTCCTTTATTAACCACACACACCACCAGTCTGCTAAAAGTCATTCACTCACTTCCTAGTCTCAAACACAAATGAAAGCCCCACGATTTTAATGATTGTGGGATAGTCTTCACTTAGTCGTTTCTCCCCTATCTGGACCTGACTCCCCCAAAGCTAACTGAAAATGTATTGAGTTGCTCTTTTCAGCAGCGCTGCTCTCAGATTTGTAATAAGCGTGTAGGATGAAGACCCTGGGGAAACCTTTTAGAGACACCCCACCTTGGCTTTGAGACCAGTCCTGTCATCATGAAAGCAAGGAGTAGCCCCGGGGCAGGTGTGTTCTGCAGGCATGGGGAAGCATAGGCCCTCTGAAGAAGGCAAGAAATAAGATGGGCAGTATTATTAATTTCTCAATAATCTAGAATGATCATGAGTGAGAGGTCCCTGGGCCAGAGTGCTCAGAGAAAGATCCTGGGTCACAAGGTCACATGTGGCCAGGGCTATATGAGAAGGATGACTTAGGCAGTAGTGCTGGGGTTCTACCTGTGTCTATCAGACCCATAAGTCTAGTCTTTGCTTGTAAATTTGAATTTTGTTGGACGGTTTTCTCTATTCTAAGTAGGACTTTCTACTGTGGCCCTAGTCGGAACCGTGAAAAATAGCAGCCGAGCACCATCTAGTTCTTCTAGTCTCAGGCTAGAAGAGGTTCGTAGGGGTCAAGCATTTTATTTTTGAAGCTGAGGAGTAATTTGTCTGTTTACTGGCTCTAGTATTTCCTTTTTATACAATTTTTCAGTGATTCATAAACCAAAAGCCAACTGTGTTTGCTAGGTTCTGTATCCTTGTTTAGATACTGTACTTCCTTTCTGAGTAACCACCGGCCAATGCTGTGCATATTTTACCCAGTTATCCAGAGGACCCAACAATCCTACCTCAAAGCTCATGCTCTTTGATCGCAAAGCTGACTGGACCAGCTTTTCCCAGAGATAGGATAAGCAAGACCAGCTGCCCAGTAGCTTCAGGAGCTGCCTGGAACCATGTTTAAGTCATCGTGGCAAGGTCTTGAAATCATCTGCTCAATGGAAGCCAAAACCTTACCTCTTCATTCTTGTCCCATTGAGTAGATTCTTGGGTGCACAAGAGAGTCCTTCCTTCTATCCTAAAGTGTCCCACCCTCTAGCCAGAGAGGCCAAAGAGCAGGCTGCTGCTGGCCTGTTCTGTGCGGCTGTGTCTCTCTGCTTCTATTTCCCTTTGGCTTTGCTCATTAGCCAGAGCTCAATTGTTTGGCATGTGGAAAAGATTTCTAAAGACTGGAGGAAACATAAAGAGGCGGAGAAAGCCATGACCAGCAGGTTCTGAAACCATCCATTTGGGAAAATGTTTCATAATCTTTTGGAAAAGACGTGGCCCGCTCTTGGGAATTGACAACAAGACTGAGAGTCTGAGCCACCGGGCTAGCAGCAGAGGTAGCTCTCTATAGTGGAGGCCAAAGGGAAAGATAGTGGAGCTTCAGCATCATCAAGGCCAGGATCATAAGCCACCCTGGCCCCAAGGAAGATCACTTATCTTTGGAGAGCATGGTGACTTTGGACTGTCCTGGACTTTTTCACCGCTTCCCAAGAGTCAGCATCTGAGTTGGGGAGATGTGGAACATAGAGAAAGGAAACCCCACAATTTCAGGTGACCTCTTTGAGAAGAGAATGACCTGCTGACACTGCTTTCTACTTTACAGGAATGTCCAGAAGCCCTGTGAGCATTGGGAGCAGGGGGAAATTTTGCCTTTTTTTACCCTTACAAGAGCCCAGAAGCAATACTGCTGACACCAGGAATGATCTCAAGCTATCCTGAAGCCACCTCTTCCTGTCCTCAGCACAAAATACCTTTCAGGGACAAGATCAGACCCAAAAGGGAAGGACAGGTATATCTGAAGGCTCAGAGAAACAAAGAAAAAGCCTACCAACTTCCTGTGGCCTTACATACACAGCCTTTCTAGCGAGCTCCTGGGAGCCGGGTCACGGGATTCTCGCCTGCCACTGAGTTCTCTGCTACTTGACAACATGATAACATTGTTATCCATAAAAATTGTATCAAGAAGCTTTTGTTGAGTGGGTTGAAGAATAACTTTGGACAAATTTGCCTAGCAGTTTTGGTAAGAAAGCAAGTTCAAGTAGTTTAAAACATCACGTTCCATTGCATTGTAAATAATGCCTTTGTAAAGTAGTTCTACAGTTTGTTCTTTGATAGTGAGCCAGTTTGATCAAAGTATATGCCTTTCCCTTGACATTGAAACCTCCCTAGAAATCTCTTTTTAAAATATCCAATAGCACCTCATTGCAAGCATCCCAGTTCCTAATGTGAAGCAGGAGACGGCAGTCCTCATGGCTCTGCTTTCTCTCCCTATCTGTCATATTTGGTAAACTGATGCTTGCAATTAACGAGGGCATCATTAGTAAATGACCCGCAAGGTAGTTGGCCTAAAATTATAAAACTGTATATAATCCTAGACAGAATCTCAGCCCCTTTACGGTTGGAACAGCACCCATGTTTGCCACCCCCTATGGCTCACCAAGTTCAGGAAGGGTTATACTTTCCAGGGTGCACCTGGGGAAGACTGTGGTGCTCATGGAAGCAGGTCTTTCTTCCTGCTCTAAGCCCTTCTTTGGCCCTCAGTGACTCTTTTATAGCCCCATCTGGTGGCTCCAAGCTCTCTGCCCTACCAGAGCAAACCCAAGAGGCAGAGTCAGTATGTACCTCTCCCATAGATATTTGGATCTACACCCATGAATTCTAACAAAGTAAAAGGCTTTGTCCCCTGTGAAGGAACATTCCAGAGTCAGTGAGCAAGAGGCTTCCCCATAGATGGGGCTGCTGCAGGTGGTGGGTCTAAAATAATGGGGATGGTTAAATCCTTCTGGGGGTTCAATATGTGAATGCTGAAAAACTATGACAGGGCCAGAGGCTTATGCCTTGGTTTCTCGACCCACTACAGTACATGCCAGTAGCAACCGATAGTGTCTCTAGATATTGCCCAAGGACTCCTTGGAGGAAGGGCAAGGTTACCCCCAGTTGAAAACTGTTGGGTTATTATAATAGCTCAGCATGTCAAAATACATGCAAAGTATGAACTTAGAGACTTCATCATAATACCAAGACCATTGTTTCCGAGAGTTCTTCTGTACCTCAGTGCTCTGTTACCTGGAGCGGGTAGGGAGCAAGGGAGTGAGCTGTAAACAGAAGTCACCCTGGCATGCCTTACATCTCATGCACTGAAAATCTCCCCCAATTCCTAGAAGGCAAACCTTCATTTTCCCTTGCCACTTTTCACTAGAGGAAACAGGAATTTTTTTAATGGGTTTGTGGGCTTCAACTGGTTTGAGAAACAAAACAACTAATCAGATATGGCTAACAGATATGGGAGGTCTCTGCAGACCCTGAGAAATCTCAGGCCTTTCCCTTACAAGTGAGCCAAGCCAGTAGTTATTTTCATCGATCATACTCCTTGGTGGCCCTCCTTGGAGATAAAGGGATCAGAGCAGCTTAGACTGTAAATAGACTGTAAAATAGATCATAGTAGGCTTGGGGCAGGATGTACGGATCAGACACCAAGTTCAGGTTTCAGAAACTCACCCTCAGAAACTTATCTCTTTGAACCAAGACTTTGTATTGGTTCACAACATAGGTGGGGGCAAATCCCTTAAATCTTTCTGTGCCTCAGTATCCCCACCTGAAAGTGGGGCCAGTCACACCAACCTACCTCCTTTGGTGTATTGTGAGGGTTATAGAATAACACTTTTTGAAGGCATCTCTAACACTTCTTAGCGCAATCTTTCGTCTAGTAATGGTCAGCAGCCAGTAGTTCACATTCAGTGCATCAGGGCGTTATGGAGAGCTGATCATAGCAGCTGCCAGGAAGCCATCGTGTGACGTGGGATATCTATCTATTTCTCAGATGCCTAACTTTAAGCATGAGGATGAAAATAGCCACTTAAAGTGAACTTTTCAGGATCACAGAAAGCAATGCTCCAAATGTCCCCATATCCAGAGCAACCTGTTATAATGGTACTCTTTGTACAAAGCGCTGGCAACATGTCACAAATCAGCCTTCTCATTGTTGGTCCTAAAGGCATTTGTGTTCAGAAGCCTCCTTAAATGCGAGAAGGGAGGTTCACCTACCTTTCTGCCTCTGTGTCTGCACTGAGTTCCGCATCTAAAGAATTCCTCAACCAATAGTATGTCTCGTTTCCAAATGCCTCCTGCAGAGGGACTAGCTTCCCAAACCTGGTGTCTGGAAGTGAGAGGAGATGCAACTAAGCTAGAGTTGGGAAGGTTGCTTGGTTACTTTAGAATACTGATAAATTCTGGGACTTCACCTAGAGGGGTTTCCTGGTTTTTCAGATAAATAAAGTTGGCTTTTGTTAGAAGAATTGGGAGTTGAGACAAAGGACTCCTTTGGAGGTGTCCCTATTCTCTCAAGAGGCACAACTCACTGAGGAAGCAGAGTGCCTAATCTAGTCCTGGGGAAGGGTCAAAGTATGCTCAGGGACAAGCGAGGTGGGTACTATCAATCAAGCCAGGCCCTCAGGTAAGGATATGAAAGGAATGTACAAACAGATGTCAGTTTGAGGAAAGTTGTGGAATTAGGAACATGGGACCCCAGAGAAGGGTAGACCTTCCTCCTGTCACACCTGATCACTGGACATCCTGAACCTAAGACTTTCTCAACCCTAAGAGAAAGTGGGAAAAGAAAAAAAATGTTAAATGCATGATGTAGAATTGCTGCTTTTGCACTAAACTGTTGTATCAAGCATGAAAGATGTTTGTTTAAACGTTGGCAAAGGAATTTAACAAAAAGCTTTGTGTCCTTGTTTTGGCTGTAGCAACACTGACATCCCTCTGCCTTCCTTTACCCTTGTTTTCCTCCATCACAGCCATTTCCTGGCACCAGCTGTTCGTATCTGATGGCAGTTCTTGGTCTAGTCAATCAATGTTCATCTTTCACTGGAAACACAGGGAGGAAGGAAAGCAATTTTTTCTAATTTTTGTATTGGTATCCACAAATGTTTGTATTTTTTGAATTGGAAACACTGTGTTTTCTGGTATTTGGGGGTTGGTTGAACTTTGTGTATTACTTTTTGGAAAACCTGAGTTTTACCACAGTCTTAAGCAGATTTGAAATAAATTGTTTTGACACTGCCAACAATTGAAGGATAAAGGCTGGTCTAGAATTCTTGCTCAGCTCCCAGCTTTGTCTTTCCCACACTGACCTTGAATGCATGCCAGGCAAGCCAAGGGTGCAGGGCAGGATGCCTCTCTGTTCTCTCACCCAGCACAGGGATAAAATTGTGTTTCTTTGTATGCCCCAGAAATCTTTTTGTTTTTGTTGTTTGGGGGGCAAAAACATACACAACAAAATTATTGCCAATTCAACATTTTTTCCATGTACAGTACAATAACAGAATACTGGTAGCGCAGTGGTTAAAACACCTGCGAATAACCAAAGGGCTCACAGTTCAAACCCACCAGTTGCCCAATGGCAGAAAGATGTGGCCATTTGCTTCCATAAAGATTTATAGCCTTGGGCAAACCCTATGGGGCAAACTCAATTTAGTAACGCTCATTACATTTATACTGTCAACTATAACCACTATCTCTTCCCAAATTGTTACACCATCATGAACAGAAACTCAGTGCCCCTAAGCAAAAACACCTCCTTTCCCCCTCTCGCACACCTTTGGAAACTATCAATAAATTTTTATTTTAATACATTTGCCTATATCTTGACTTTTTCTCTCTCTTCTGCTTCTGTCTGCCTTCTTCCTGTCTGTAAAACCTGTGTGGGGTTGACTGTTTTCATACACAACTCTATCAATTTCAAAGCACCTGGTGGCATAGTAGTTATGCATTAGGCTGCTAACCTCAAGCTTAGCCATTCGAAACCAGCAGATCCTCCAAGGGAGAAAAAGGGGCTTTCTACTCCAGTGAAGACTTACAGTCTTAGGAACTCCCAGGGGCAGTTCTACCTTGTCCTTGAGGGTCACTATGGATCAGAATTGACTGGATGGCAGTGAATTTTGGGTTTTGCCCCTCACAGCAGAGACCACAGATACTTCATTTGCATGGCAGGCAAATAGACGTTTCATTTGCATAATCATAGTAATTTCATTTGTATAATCTACTGCCTCATCCCTGCAAGGTGCGTATCAATTACAGGGCAGGCAAAAGTTTAAGCTATTCTTGGTTACAATCTTCCCAGGAGATGTCAATCAAAGGGAACAAAAGTAACAAACTCTGTGGGGTAGAAAACTAGCACAAATGTAACTCCTCAGGCCACAGTCAAAAGTACTGCCATCGAGTTGATTCAGAGTTCCAACTCATAGTGACCCTATAGGACAGAGTAGAACTGCCCCTGTGGGTTTCTGAGACCATCGCTCTTTATGGGCGTAGAGGGTCTCATCTTTCTCCCTTGGAGTGGCTTGTGTTTTCCAACTGTTGACCTTGAGGTTAGTAGTCCAACTTGTAACCATTATGCTACCGTAAAGGATAAAATCCTCTCAAACTTTTTTCCAAGCCACCAAGGCAAAGATGACATTAAGGAGCTCAGTTCACTATGCTAATATTCCACCACAGTGTATGTGCCAGATTTATTCTTAATTCATTCATCTGTTGATGGACATTTCCCATTTCCTTCAGAGGGAATCTTGAGGCAATCGCATATTATTCTACAATCATGAGGTACTATCTCAAATAAAACCAAAAGTAACTCACTGCCAAAGAGAGAATTCAGACTCATAGAGACCCTATACATCGGACTGCCCCTGTGGATTTCTAAGACTGCTACTCTTTACAAGAGTAGAAAGCCTCCACTTTCTCTTACAAAGTGGCTGGGGAGTTTGAAACTGCTGAACTTGTGGATCCCAGCCCAACTCGTAATCACTAGGCTACCAGGGCTCCTACCATCTCAAATATTGGGGAGTTAATAAAATTCCTCTTTTTCAAGAAATTATAACACTGGAAATCTAATTTTAAAGTAATTTGGCTAAATTCATGAATTTAAAATTGACAATGGGTTACAATGGACATTGAGGTTGGGGAAAACATCTGAACTAACCTAAGAGCATCAAGGAGACTGACCAGCACATCCAGCCACACAGATTGAGGGTATTCATTTCTGATCTGAAAACTTTCATATTAAATAATGCTTCCCAAGTATCACCTCACATGTCCTGACAGCCCCCAAGGCCCAGCATCATTCTCAGATAACCAGATTCCTAAATTGGTTCAGCTATGTAGGGTACAGGTGTAGGCTGAGTATCCCAGGAGGCCCACACTGAGTTTAGACAGCTGGACATTTGTTAGGGAGTGGTCTTGGCATCAAACCTTAGGAGCAAGATTGGGCAGAGGAAGAAGTCAGGCTATGTTGTGTCAACTTAGTGAAGGCCTCAGCCAACTGAACTCTGGAGCTGGGATGAGGATGCAGAGTTTTGGACTGCGTTTTATATACCCTTACACCATTCATGCATTGCGTGCAGATCATACTGAAAAGGAGGATGACTTTGGGTGAAGGTAATCCCTAGAGGACTAACACAAAGTTGCCTGCCTGACCATTCTCAGAGCAGAGGGAAAGAGTCCTTCATTCCTGAAAGAGAATCTGAGGGGTAATCACAGTGCCCACCCCTTGTGCCACTCAGATGTATGCTTCAAATAAGTTTGGGGAGAAGCTCTTCCAGAATTCTGATGAAAGAATCTTAGAAGAGGCAGTTAATAAACATACTACATTCTCTGCCATTGCAGCTGGCCTTGGGGTATAACTGATATTCTATCTACTCTACTACCATTCTATGTCCCTTTCACCTTCTTTAGTGTCTCTGCTAATTTAAGTGGTTTTCCTGTTGGCATTGCCCAAACCCACAACCCTGAGGAGAGGTCTCAGGTTACCATGCCTTCTCAGTCCAAGGTTGCTCCACTAGTTTCTTACCATCAAAATTGGATACAGGGAGGTGTTAGGCTGGACTGACTAGAGAAACAATCCAGAGAGACTCATATATGTCTAAGAAAGAGCTTTATCACCTTCCCGACACAACCGCTGAAGACAAAGCGGGTGTATAAGCAAATGTGGCAAAGACAGCTGATGGTGCCCGGCTATCAAAAAGTATAGCATCTAGGGTCTTAAAGGCTTGAAGGTAAACAAACGGCCATCAAGCTCAGAAGCAACAAAGCCCACATGGAAGAAGCACACCAGCCTATGTGATCACCAGGTGTCCAAGGGATCAGATATAAGGCATCATCAGAACAAAAAATCTTTAAAAAAAAGAACAAAAAAATCTTACCATAGTGAATGATGGGGGGAGTGCGGAGTGTAGACCCAAAGCCCATTTGTAGGCCACTGGAGATCCCCTTGCAGAGGGGTCTCGGGGAGGAGACAAGTCAGTCAGGGTGCAATGTAGCAACGATGAAAGATGCAATTTTCCTCTGGTTCCTGAATGCTTCCTCCCCATGCCCACTATCATGATCTGAATTCTGCCTTGCAAGTCTGGCTGGACCAGAGGATGTACACTGGTACAGATGGGAACTGGAAACACAGGTAATCCAGGGCGGATGATCCCTTCAGGACCAGTGGTGTGAGTGGCGATACTGGGAGGGTAGAGGGAGAGTGGGTTGGAGGGAGGGAACCAATTACAAGGAACTATATGTGACCTCCTCCTTGGGGGACGGACAGCAGAAAGGTGGGTGAAGGGAGACGTAGGACAAGGCAAGATATGACAAAATATTAATTTATAAATTATCAAGGGCTCATGAGGGAGGGAGGAGTGGGGAGGGAGGGGAAAAATGAGGACCTAATGACAGGGGCTTAAGTGGAGAGGAAATGTTTTGAGAATGATGAGGGCAATGAATGTAAGAGTGTGCTGTACATAATTGATGTATGTATGGATTGTGATAAGAGTTGTATGAGCCCTTAATAAAATGATTTTTTTTAAAAAGAAAGAGCTTTATATCAGAGAGTATATTACGAAAACAGCCCAGTCCAAATTAAGTCCAATATTAACCCACAAGTCCAATACTGGTCCACAAATCCCTCTTCAGACTCATACAGCTACTTGCAAGGATGAAGACTGCAGGAAGATTGCTAGCCAGCGGGTGCAAAGTTTGGTGCATCCAATGGTAATAGAAGCATCTCAGTACTGGCATGGTTCTCCACATGACTCCTCCAGCTTTCTGAGTGTGGCTCTTCAACAGTAAAATGAAACAAAGAGAGAGGCTCTTGCAGGTCTCAGCAAGTCTCTACGTGGCTTGTCAAACAGGAAAGTAAAGGCAGAAAAAGAGCGAGGGAGGCCAGCCCCAGAAAGCCTTTTTATCTCTGATACCCTCAAATCAAGCTACAAACTGATTAACAGGCTAACCTCCACCCCTTCACTCTTACTACCCTCAAACTGACACAAGATTATGTAAGTACCACAAGGGAGTACCAAGAGATGCCCACATGGACTACATAGGTGGCAAGCAGTCTCCTCTTTCTGGCTTCAGTGTGCAATATAAACCCTACCTCTTCTTGTCCTCAGTCGATTGTTCTTGCAAGACTGGGACTTGACTTGTCACTCAGGCAATAGCTAATAGCTCAAAATGCTTTCTGTGTTCCCAGCGTACCACTTGGGGGGTCCAGAAGGTGAAGGATGGAAAATGGAAATTCCTCAAGTGAATCACCAGGAGTAACAGCAGAAAGGTCACATATTCATTTATTGAGACATGGTACCATGTTAAGTGTCATTGCTTGCTTTAGTATAAATTATCCCTAGAGAATGGTACCTTATCCTTACAAGCTATCATCACTGAAATGGAGCTTATGCTGAACCTTCAATCCACCTTTGTTAGGCAGGGTTCTCTAGAGAAACAAAACCAGGACACATGAAATATATATATGGAGATAAATCTATATATCTATATATGGATATATATATATGGATATATATATATATGGATAGGTTTATACAGCACAAAGGAACATAACAGCTAATTAGTACACAAAGCAGTACAGAGGGTTCAGTTCAACTCACTTCTATGGAACAGTTAATATACTGAAAGTCCCTCAACTCACAAGGGCTGCCATGGGCAAGGTCAAGGAAGCAGACAGCTGAGTCTTCCCTCGGGCAATGGGAGCAGAGGCTGCCCACAGGCAGCACAGAGCAGGGCGGGCTACCAACAGTCAG